CTCAGGAGTGGGTTGTTTTTCTCTCTCTGTGTGAGCAACTCTTCTTTTTTTCTCCCAGACAGTCCAGGAGGAGGATGGCTGCAGATAACACCTCCTCTGTGACAGAGTTTATCTTTGCAGGCTTAACAGACAAGCCAGGACTCCATCTCCCTCTCTTCTTACTGTTTCTAGGCTTCTATGTGGTCATTATAGTGGGGAACCTGGGCTTGATAACACTGATTGGGCTGAACTCTCATCTTCATATTCCCATGTACCTTTTCCTCTTCAACTTGTCCTTCATTGACTTCAGTTACTCTTCTGCCATCATCCCCAAAATGCTGATGAGTTTTGTCTCAAAGAAGAACATCATCTCCTACACAGGGTGTATGACTCAGGTCTTTTTCTTCTCTTTCTTTGTCATTTCTGAATGCTTCATCCTGTCAGCAATGGCATATGACCACTCTGTGGCCATCTGTAAACCAGTGTTTTACATGGTCACCATGTCTCCTCAGGTGTGTTTATTTCTTTTGCTGGGTGTGTATGGGATGGGGGTTTTGGGGGCTATTGCGTATACAGGTAATATGCTGTTTCTGATCTTTTGTGCAGAAAACCTTGTCAATCATTACATGTGTGACATCCTTCCCCTCCTTGAGCTCTCCTGCAATAGCTCTTACATGAACACTCTGTTTTTCTTTACTCTTGTGGCCATTGCCATTGGGGTGCCCATTGTGACCATTTTTCTGTCTTATGGGTTCATTCTTTCCAGCATTTCCACATTAGTTCTACTGAGGGCAGATCCAAAGCCTTTAGTACCTGCAGTTCTCACATAATTGCAGTTTGTCTTTTCTTTGGTTCAGGAGCTTTTGAATACCTTAAACCACCTTCTATTATACCCCTTGACCAAGGCAAAGTCTGTACTGTATTCTATACCATTGTGGTTCCCATGTTGAACCCAGTAATCTACAGCCTGAGGAACAAGGATGTCAAATTAGCCATGAAGAAAACCTTGGGCAGAATAACTTAGTCTTGAAATAAATGGGAAATTGAGAAAGAGATGAGAATTTTTTAATTAGGGTTTCGTTATTATTTTATCATCATCATCATTAAGGGATTCAAACTTCATGCTCTTGTATGAAATAATATTCTATATTTAAAGGAAATTTTAACTTCCAAATTAATTTATTCCCTCTCACCATCAGTCCAACTCTCTCTTCTTTATTTTATGAAAATAGTCTTTGCAATCGTAGAGTATGCAGTATTTAATGGGGCTTCAGAATCATTTCATCTAGTCCAAAAATATTAAAAAACTACCCAGTGGCAGAGCTGGGACTGAAATCCCAGCTTGAATCTCAATTCAGTTTCTTTTCCTTTAGGCCATGTTTTCTTGCCTCATCTCTTTCTTGGAAGATGTCATTTCACATGTTAGTTGACCTAGTACATCTAAATTAAAAATGGATTGACAGTAATTTCATGCTACTTGCACAACACACTTCTAATACATCACATTTTGCAAGAAAATAGGAGGTGAAAAATTTTGTTGAGTAGGTCTTGGCAAAATGACAAGATCAGTGTCTGATGAGCTTTTTAGTGTGTAAATGGGTAGTGTGTTAGGTTTCCCAGAAGGCAAGTGTGGTGACCACTGACTTGGTGAGTGAAGCACCTGGGACCTGGGTTAATGAATTAGGACTTCCAGGGAGAGAAATGGCATTTTATAGGGTAGAAAGATGCTGAGTGGACGCGTCATATTATTTCAAGGCTGAGACAGAATATGGAGTCTCATTTCAAGGGTTATCTTGGTTGTGGTCCAAAGTCATTGGGAGCTGTGCTATTTGATCTGGTAGTCACTGGTCATGTAGGGTACTGAGCAACTGAAATGTGGACATCTAAATGGAGACATACTGGAAGTAGGCAAAGTAAGTGTGATATACACACCCAATATTTGAAGAATATGAAAAACAATCTCGTGGATACTTTTTTTTTACTTGATTACATGTTGAAATGATAACATTTTGAATATATTGTGTTAAATAAAACATGTGATTAAAATGAATGAATGTTTATTTTTATAGTATCTACTAGAAAGATTAGAATTTACATTTGGCTTGCATTATATTTCCATTGGATGACACTGGTCTAGAGGATGTAAGAGAATACTAGCTGGCCCTAAGTCCACGTTCACCTCCCGGGCAGCACCAAGCTGCTGCTTATTAGGAGAGGCAACTGCTATAGAATTTTCAGGCATTCAGATAGCCTCCAGATTCTAATAATAGAGGCATATGGGTAAGAAATGGTGATCTCAGGATAAGTTCATAAAGCCACCATATTATGAAATGGAAAATAGAGCATTATATTAAAAATCAAAAGAACAATTTTTGTCTAAACTCACTATTATTGGTAAAATTTCTTTGAGAAGCAATGACAAATGAAGTTCTGGGGAAATTATTTTGACTTACTGGTCTGTTCTTTTGGAAAGTCCATTTCATTAGGATGTAGGGGAAATTTGACTAACTGTTGAGTTCTGGGTTTTGATTCTGTTCAATGCTGCCAAAAAGAAAAGAATAAGCTTATAAAGAGAGAATTGAGATGAGATGAAATACAGGGACCAGCAGAAGTAGTGCCATTGAGTGTGTTTGTTAGGGTACGTGACTGTCTCACATGAGATGGACAGCAATGTGAACATTTTGCAATAGGGTGTGGTGGAGTGTGATATTATTATGCTACAGAATTACATGCTTATTATTTTGTAATAAAATATTTGTTATAAAAGGGGTATTTTTTGCATTTTTTCTTTTTTTATTAATTAATTTTATTTAGTTATTTTTCAAGTACAGTTTTTTGACTATTTCTCCCATCCCAGTGTCCCCCCCTTGCTCCCCACCTCCCTCCCATTTCCACCCCCCTTAGTTCTAGTCCCTGTGTCCTCCCTATTTTTTCCTCCAAATCCCTCCCCCTTTTCCCCCCTTAACTTCCCTTCCTTCTCCCCTCTGGTCACTGTCCCCTTGTTCGTTATTTCAGTGTCTTTGTTTTTTGTTTTTTTTTTTCTGCTTGCTTGTGTGTTTTGTTGTTTAGCTTCCTTTTAAAGGTGAGATCATATGGTATTTGTCTTTCAGCCTGTCTGGCCTTTTTCACTCAGCATAATGCTTTCCAGTTCCATCCATGAAAAGGGGTATTTTTTTTTTGTGCCAGATCCTTTGGATGCCCGAATTTAGGGAACCTTGAATTTAGGAATTGTGGTTGGTGTATTGAATATGCTGTTCAATGTAGGTCATGAAAGAATACAGAGAAATCCTTTTGAAAATTTTGTGTCCTGACTTTTATACAGCAAAGTGCACACATCTTAAGTGTTGAGCTCATTGAACTTTTGCACATGAATATATAACCACAGCCTAGATCAAGATGTACAACATTTCCATCTACTTTAGAAAGTTTCCTCTTGCATCTTTCCAATAAATACAACCTGCCCTCCACCCCATCCCGCACAGCTATCCACTCTTCTGACTTTTATCATTGTAGAGTGTTGTCTGTACTTGAACTTCATATAAACAGGTAGTGGATTGTTTCTGGATTTTCTTCATCATAAAGCCTGTCATGCACATCTATATTGCTGTATATATGGGTAGATTGTTATAGTGCTGTGTAGTATTCCATCATGTGAACATATAATTATGTAGCCTGTTACTAAAGTTAGAGTTTCCAGCTTTTGCCTATTATTGATGAAGCCTTTAGAAACATTTTCCATGTGTATTTTGATTGAATAAGCAAACATTTCTTCTGTATTATATGTGGATCTGCTGGATAATAGAGTGGGCTTATGTGTTTAGCTTTTATAAACATCACTGCTAAACTGTTTTCTAATGTTTGATTCAATTTGCATTGCTATCAACAATGTTTGAGAATTCTGATTATTTTATATACTTGTTAATCCTTGGTATTTTAATTGTACTCCTATTTTATCCCATATGCAAAAATGTATTTTTATTCTGGTATGGCCAGCAGAATGCCTTTGTTATTGAACTTTTTTTCCTGGTAAGTAATGATGTTGGCTACATTTTTACAAATTTACTGGTTGTTTGGATATCTTCTTTGAAGTAATTATTCAAGTCATTTCCTCTTTAAAACATAGGGTAGTTTGTTGTTTTCCTATTGTATCAAAGAAATTTGAAAATGCACATGTAAGTTCATATAAGTGTACATATTTGTGTTTGTGTATGTATACATAATATATATGTATCTACGCATAATAGATGCATACATACACAGTCATCTTCCTCTTCCTATCTTCCTCGGACTATGCCTTGCTTATCCTAAATGATAACTTTTGATAGCCATTTTTTAAATTTAAATGGTTTGATTTATCAACTTTATCTTTCATAGTTAGTGCTTTGTCCTAAGACATTCTTTTTTAAAAAAATTTTTATGTAGTTATTTTTCAAGTAAATTGTTTGCCTATTTCTCCCATTCCAGCCCCCCTGCCCTGTCTCCCTCCTCTCTCCCATTCCCCCACCCCCTAGTCCTCATCCCTGTGTCTTTCATACTTGTTCCTCAAAATCCCTCCCCATTTTTTCCCCTTAAATTCCCTTCTCTCTCCCCTCTGGTCGCTGCCCACTTGTTCTCTATTTTAGTGTCTTTGTTTTTATTCTGTTTGCTTGTTTGTTTTATTCTTTAGCTTCCTGTCAAAGGTGAGATCATATGGTATTTGTCCTTCAATGCCTGGCCTATTTCACTCAGCATAATGCTTTCCAGTTCCATCCATGTTGTTGCAAAGGGTAGTAGCTCCTTCTTTCTCTCTGCTGCATAGAATTCCATTGCGTATATGTGCCACAATTTTTTTGATCCATTCATTTACTGATGGGCACCTAGGTTGCTTCCAACTCTTGGGTATTGTAAATTGTGCTGCTATGAACATTGTGGTGCATAGGCTCTTTGAAATTGATGTTTTAGGATACTTGGGGTATAATCCTAGCAGTGGAATTGCTGGGTCAAAAGGCAGGTCGATTTTTATTTTTCTGAGAAAATTCCATACTGTTTTCCATAATGGTTGTATCAGTCTGCAATCCCACCAACAGTGAACTAGGGTGCCCTTTTCCCCGCAACCTCTCCAACAGTTGTTGTTTGTTGCTTTGTTTATGATAGCCATCCTGACTGGTGTAAAGTGGTATCTCATTGTGGTTTTAATTTGCATCTCTCTGATAGCTAACGATATTGAGCATCTCTTCATGTGTCTCTGGATATTCTGTATGTCCTCCTTGGAGAAGCGTTTATTCAAGTCCTTTTCCCATTTTTTAAATTGGGTTGGGTGCCTTCTTAGAGTGGAGTGGTGTACGTTCTTTGTATATTTTGGAGATTAAACCTTTGTCTGAGGTATCATTGGCAAATATGTTTTCCCATACAGTCAGTTGTCTTGCTAATTTAATAATGTTTTCTTTAGCCAGGCAGAAGCGTTTAATTTTGATGAGATCCCTTTTGTTTATTCTTTCCTTTATATTCCTTGCTCTAGGGGACATATCAGTAAAAAAGTTGCTGGGTGCAATATCTGAGATTTTCTTGCCGATGTTCTCCTCTAGGACTTTAATGGTGTCACGGCTTATATTTAAGTCTTTTATGCACCTTGAATTTATTTTGGTGTATGGTGTAAGTTGCTCAAGTTTCATTTTTTTGCACGTAGCTGTCCAGTTCTCCCAACACCATTTGTTAAAGAGGCTATCTTACTCCATTTTATGTTACTGCCCCCTTTGTCAAATATTAATTGACTGTAGAGAGTTGGGTTGATTTCTGGGCTCTTTGTTCTGTTCCATTGGTCTATGTGCCTGTTTTTTTTGCCAGTACCAGGCTGTTTTGATTATAGTGGGTTTTTAATACAGTTTGATATCAGGTATTGTGATCCCTCCTACTTTGTTCTTCTTTCTCAAAAGAGCAGCTGCTATTCAGGCTCGTTTATGATTCCATATAAGTTTTTAAGTGTTTGTTTTATGTTGTGAAATATGCCATTGGCAGTTTAATAGGTATTGCATTGAATGTGTATATTGCTTTGGGTAGTATGGACATTTTGATGATGTTAATTCTTCCAATCCATGAACAAGGTACATGTTTCCATTTGTTTGTGTCTTCCTTGATTTCTTTCTTCAGTGCTGTGTAGTTTTCTGCTTACAGGTCTTTTACCTCCTTGGTTAGGTTTATTCCCAGATATTTTATTTTTCTTTTTTCTATATTGAATGGGATATTTTTCCTTGATTTTTGCTTCTGCTGATTCATTGTTAGTATACAAAAATGCCTTTGATTTCTGGATATTGACTTTGTATCCTGCTGTTTTGCCAAATTCATTAATTAGTTTGAGCAGTTTTTTGGTAGAGTGTGTAGGATTTTCCATGTACACTCAGTTTCACTAATTTTAAGTGCAAGACATTTTTCTCCTGTTCCTTTGTTGTTAGTGACCTCTGGTTTAATACTCGTGGCCTGATGTTACTATGGCATCTGTCTCTCAGGTCTGTTTTCTGGCAACACTTGGTTTGTGTAGGAATAGATATTGGTGGTGTCATGACCCACCCAGTGGCAAAGGTCAGCATGTCTTCCTGTAACCACAACACCATCAACCATCTCACGTGGTGCAACAAACCTGCTCTCATCAAACTCTCTTTATTCAGCACCTATTCACAAGCTCTTGGATTTTGTAGCCATAAGCATTACAACTGACCGTCTTCGCCTGTACATACTCATTCTAATTTTCCTCCCTCCTAAGGCAGTTGAAAAAGGTGCTCTTTCTTCCCTCTGGGTTAGGAAAATGCTTTACTTCAGCTCACGTGCTGGGACCAGGAACTCCATTGGTGGTTCTCAGATGAATCTGAATCACACAGAGGATTTGCTAAAACACAGATTCCAGGCCCCATCCACAGAGTTTTTGATCCAGTAGGTCTCGGGTAGGACTTGAGATCTTTCATTAATAAGAAGTTCCTCAGAACAAGCAAGCAGAATAAAAACAAGGACACTGAAATAGAGAACAAGGGGACAGTGACCAGAGGGGAGAGGGAAGGGAATTTAAGGGGGAAGGCGGGAGGGATTTGGGGGAACAAATGTGAGGGGCTCGGGGGGTGGGGGTGGGGAGCGGGGCAAGGGGGTGGGCTTGGATGGGAGAAATAGACGAAAAACTGTACTTGAAAAATAACTAAATTAAAAAATAAATAAATTTAATATAATAAAAAAAGAGAAATTAAAAAAAAAAAAAAAAAAGAGCCCTGGCTGGCGTGGCTCAGTGGATTGAGCACGGGCCTGCGAACCAGAGTATCGGGGTTCGATTCCCAGTCAGGGCACATGCCTGGGTTGCAGGCCAGTTCCCAGCAGGGGATGCATGAGAGGCGACCATACATTGATGTTTCTCTCCCACTCTTTCTCCTTCCCTTCCGCCCTCTCTCGAAAAATAAATAAAAAAAAAAAAAAAAAAGAAGTTCCTCAGAGATGGGTTTCCAGCTGCCTGGGGATCCACCATTGAGAAGCAGCATCTGTTACAGCAAAGCAGCAGCCATGCTGAACTATCCTCTGAGCACCTCATTTCCTGAGGCAAAAACTCTGAGATTTGTCTTTTGACTTGGAGAAATGCTGATGTATCATTTTACTTTTCAGTTTTCTTTAGTGAGCATTCTGGATTCTGTTTCCTTTTAAAATGTGATGGGGTTTTCTTTCTCACCGTCTTTCTTCTTTTGCTTTAAGAAATTTTTCCTCAAGACGAGCAATTTCATCACAAATAGCAGCATTTTCCTTTAAGAAAAAAATTGAATAAATATATCACATAAAATGAATAAAAGAGCAAAAATATTATGCTGGGAAGATGAGTCATATTTCAAACCAAAGAAGTCGTTTGTTGCTAGATAAGAAGAAGAACTAGTCTACCTTGCAAATTACAAAAGAACTTATAGGTAACAGTGGACCATGTTACCTATAACAGTTTGACTGTGCACCGGGTAATTACAGAATTTATGAAAACTGGACTACCTCTGAGTAAAAAAGGAGTACTATTAGTGATTATTGCAGAACAATATGGTGGGTTAGGGCTGTTCTAGGCAAACCAAGATGTGCAGTCATCCTAATTAGGGTCACCTTCGGCAGAGAAAAGGGCATCCGGCTTAAATCCATGGATGCTTAAATTCAATTCTTGTGAATGTGAGGACCTGCCATGCCCAAGTACGTTGACTTTTGGGGGAGCTCTCAAAACCAGCCTAACCAGAAGCATCCCATGCAATATGAACCCTAGAGAAAAACTGGATGGAACAAAATCAACCTTAATATGTAAAATTCTTAGACTTCCTCATCTACTTATTCAAGCACTGTCTTTCTTTACTGATGATTCAGTCTGTCTCCCAAGCAGCAGTCCTGGGGAAATGCTGCACTCCGGGTGTTCCATAGGTGGGAACTCAAACTCTGCCTGTGAGTTGAAAACAATAGCCCTTTTCTTCACAAAACCTTCACCTAATACTGAATGGAACCAAAGTCCTTCTAACAGTACAGGCTCCAAGCTTCAAGTACCTTTGACATGTAGGAAATAAACGGTATGAAATCCTCTTAATCATACTTTTTGTGTTTCTCTTCAGTGCACACAGCAAGTGCTAAATAAATGTTTCTGGAATGAATGTGCCCGTTCCCAAACTTTCCCTTATGCTTCCCCAAAAAGCGGAGAGATGTTCAAGTGTGGGGTAGAAACACGAGGTGAGGTGGTGATCCAGACATGGGAGGACCTTTGGGGACTCCACTCTCTGTACTGCCCCGCACTGAGGCAAGCTCGGGTGAGTCAGAACATGTTAACATGGAGTGTGGGGCTGGCCAACCAGTTCATTCATTCAACACACCCAGTGACTCTGCAAGAGAAAAAATGGCAGAAATACTGGGGATATTCAAAAGGAGTTAGAAGGCAGTAAATTATTGAAAGCTTCCTGTATATGTCTGTTTAGGGAAGGGCGCTTAGGAAATAGGCTGGGTGAGTGGAAGTAATAAAGAAACTAGAATCGAAGAGTCTAAATTGGTGTCAGGGCTGACACTTTAAGCAAATCATCTTTCTGGGATTCGCTGTTATTTTTAAAATAGTGCCCCATTCTCAGGTTCTCTTGAGAATCAAACGCGTTTCCAAGAGTTTTGCAGTTATAACGAAAATGGCTAAAACTTTTAGACACCAAACATTTTACTCTCCTCATTTAATCTTCACAACTCAGCAAAGTAAATATTAAGTCTCACAGGTAAGAAAAAAATTAATGAAATACGTCATCTGTCCAAGGGTGCCAAGGGTACAAGGCTACCGAGAAGCGATGTATAACTGCGAAAACTAACACGACACCACTGCCCCTCTGGGAAGAGGGACGGTTTGGGGAAAGATTTCGCGAATTCGGAGTATGGAGACAGGGAAAGACCGAGACTCACAAACACCGTGGCTTTGGCGGCTTTGCGCAGCTGCAGGTACTTGAGCCGGTACTTCTCGTTCTGGCTCCGCTTTGGGGGCTTTTTCATCCTGGCCTTGGCGGACTGCGGCGCGGCCCGCGGCGACGGGGTGAGGCAGCCCAGCAAGCTCATGACTCGGGCCCACTGCGGGGCCTCTCGGGCGCAGCGGGCATCAGCGCCCGGCCGAGAGGCGGCGGGACGTCGGCCCCGTCGGGTCCGTGCTGGCGGAAACGGGCCCCGAAGAACCGACCTCTCCGAGAACGCTGCCAAGGAGAGTGGCTGGAACAGAATTCACGCAGTGAAACCCCAACCTTCTGCTACTTTAACATCTGCCGGGAAGTTACATCCCGGCGCCGACTAGCGAAACATCCGGGTGCTGAGCATCACTTCCTGTGCGTCCGGGGGGCAGGCATCCGCTACCCTTGTGACACTAACTCACGTGCCCCTGCTTAAATTAGTAGTGTGATTGCTGGGCGGAGGAGCGGACAAAGATCTTCGCCGGACTGTGACGCACTCCTGCAGACCACTGTGGCAGACACCAGCTTTATACACTCGGTACCCAGAATCCTCACTGCGCTGAATGCTGCGCTCGAACACGAGCTGTGCGCCTGCCGTCTTCCTGACTTCCTTACCTTACGGCAGCTCGCGTAAATGTTGCCGTAGTGCTGCGATTTTAGTACAGGTCCGGACTACAGGGCTGAATAGCAAAGTGTCTGGTCCCGCAGGTTCGAACGTAGCAGTAAAGGTGGAAGAATTAACAGCTTTAATAATACGCAAGCACAAATAGGCACTCAGTCATAGTTTGTCTGATGGCACCAAAAGTAAGTTTCTGTAACTTCACGTTTATTTATGTGTAATCCGGGTCTATCTAAAAATCAAATGAAGAGGGAAACTCTTTAGGATGCAGTGTTGGTGAATGCGCCCATTCAGAAGACAGAGGCTTCCGTTCTTTCTCACAGCAGTGCCTCCGGCTAGTTGAGTGAGTCCCTGGGCCAACAGGGTTTTCCTCTGAAAACTGAATATACTGTAGAGTAATGGATGGGAGCGAGAGTTCTAAGCTGTAAGGCACTATTTATATGAAATAGAATTACTGTTGCAAGTTAAAAATACAGACTTCTACAGTGGCATATGGGAATTAAGGAAAATATATACATAGTTAATAAAATTTATTACTGGGGTAAAATGTAATACTGAATAAGTAACATAATCAGAATTCAAAAGAGAGGTTGAGAATCGATGACCCAGGAATTTCACTTCTGAAAATTGTAAAAATGGCAACAGCGGTCTTGACAAAAATAGATTTAACAGAAGTCCCTTTATGCCAATCCATGTTGTAAGCGGCCCTTTGTAGGGCCTGCCTGGGTTTTAGCAGAGCAGCCCCTCCTGGTGTCAGTGTGCCTCAGCAAACACACTCAAGGCAGCCACACAAGTTCATGTTTTGAAACTGCCAGGAATTTTGTCAGCCTGCAAACTATCCACACTCATTCGTTTGATACTATGAATTGGCACTTTACCTTGGACCCTGAAAACAGATAGTTCTGGTTGATCAGAAGAGGTTCGGGGTATTTTTCTTTTCTTTTGTAAACCCCTATTCCCTAACTGCTAGGTTTACTGGCTGCCTAGCTGTATTTTGTCATTGCAGGTTTTGTCCTCTGACTTTGTTTTCATTATTCCTCTTCACACCTGGTGGGAGGAAAAGTGCTATCATTTGCCTTAGTCTGCAAGTTGTTCTGGCCAATGGATTTCAGTGGAATTTTCATTAAAATATTTATTGTTTGTTCTTCATCAGAAACACCTTATTATAATAGGTAAAACAGTTCATGCAAATTTTTGAAAATATAGTACAAGGAGTTTAAAAATTCCTTATGCTGCCACATGGAATGAACCATTTGAAACATGTTGGTATGTGTGTCTTCATGCATGTTTATACAGGGTATATCATTGAATATTTTCATGCCTCTTTATATACTAAAGACAATGTTTTCTTTTTGTTGACTTACCAATATGTCATTTTGCAATGTTATTATGACTTCTTTATAATTTTAAATGGCTGTTTAATAGTTCAGTTATGGCATAGTCACTTTACATGAGTATCTTCAAGTTGTTTGACTTTTTGGTCATCAATTGCTGCAAAGTGCATCTTTGTGCACAAAGCTTTTTCCACATAGGATTGTTTAGAGGCTGAATTTGTGTGCCCCAAACAATGTAATATTCCTGAACAACTCATTGAGTCACTTATTTATTCAGAAGAATAGTGCTTATTGTGGAAGAACGTTTAGGAGACCTATTTAAGAGGGAAAAGGGGGGCCATATTAACAGAGTGTAATGTTTTATCTCAAAGGTAGGTATTGGATGATAGGGCAGCGCCTACTTAGGGAAGGGGGAGGAGCTAGGGAAGGCTTCTTGAATGAAATGTGCCTACACTTCCCCTGAAGGAGAGAAGAACAGGAGGGCATTTTGGGCATTGGGAACAGTGCATCCAAAGGCTTAGCATCACAAGAAGCATAGGAACTGCAAGTAGTTGATTAGAGTGAAAGAGGTATGTGGAGAGGCCCAAGAGGACCGAAGTGGCAGGAAGTATTTGGATAGCAAAGGGTCTTGTGTAGCAATCTGAAGAGGCAGACCTTTACCAAAGACAATAAGAAGCCATTAAGGAATGTTTACTTATGAGCCCTGTTGCTTGTTTTAGGTAAACTTACCCAGGTTTGTCAGGAACGACATCATTTTTCTACATACCTGTGCAAAGAAGGGTATAATATGCATCTAGAAAAAGAAATACCAGTTGAGAACCAGTTGGTATTGTGGGCGAGCGTGGCTTTTGGAGTTGAGTCAACTTTTCATTAAATACAGACACAGGGATGGGAGTTACTGCATAAGATGGGCGATGAGTCAGAGGAGAGAGAGAAGGGGATCACCAGCACTTTACTTAAGTGGTTGCTCTTCAGTGATTGGCTGCAAGTGGATGTGTAGCCTCCCCTGAGCTATTAAAAGCACATGTGGGCCCACTAAGAATTGTGAAGGGGTCCACAGCTTGAAGTGAAGGGGTTCACTTCATTTTCACAGGGGTGCTATCAGGTAGGTACTGTTAGTGTCTCTGTTTCACAAAGAAACTGAAATGTGAAAACATTAAGTAACTTGTACAAGTTTCACATGTAGAAGGTAAGCGAATGGGAATTGGGACTCAGCAGTCTGGTCTTGGAGTTTATTCCCTTATGACTGCTTGGCTACAGCTTCTCTGCACCAGGGTGCTTTGATTTGGGGGAGAGTTTGAAGAATAAGTGGGAGGACGAATATTTGGTTGCATCTAGATAGAGGGGCGTGGGGTGTGTGTGTGTGTGTGAGTTTTAGAACTAAACAAGAGAAATGTGTTGGAAAAGGTACGTTAGACTGAGAGAAAATTAGAACCTTTTGATGCCTGTTTAAAAAATGACATTTCTTGAAAACAAACTCTTCACCCCTAGAGATTTAACTCTTTTCTGACACAAACTACCTCTGTACTGTCCTGAACCTGTCACCTTCCAGATCCTGCTCAAACACTTTCAGTGACAGAGACTTCATGGCCTCTTTGCATTAATTTTCTGGTTTTGTCTGGTCCGAGAACTGCTGTGTTTTGAGACCTTGTAAACTTGTCATAACAACAAAATGTTATGAGTGACTTCTGACTAAATATTGCGAACTGGACACGTAAATGACTTCTGCTCCCGAACAACAATAAAGAGAATTAAGAGACATAATCCTGCGAGGACAAAGAAAGCAGGAGAAGACACAAGAGCAACAAAACGCTGAAAACTGAAAAGCAGTTGCATGAGCACGGACAGCAGCCTGCGGGTGGATGGGGAGTTGAGGCAGGAGCAAGTGAGCAAGCTCTTTTGCACCACAGACCAGAAAGACTTAGGAGTTAGAGACACCAGGTGCCTCTGAAAGTGGGGCTGAGCAAGGAATATTGAAAATGCAGCCCTGCAGAGTCTTTCTGCAACAGGACATACTCAGTGACTGCCCTGTCCCTCCCCTGGCAGAAGGCCACTGTCTACTCCTCAGATACATTAAACCAGGGAGATTCTGCACTTGGGTCCATCGAGGGTGGGGGGACCACACTGAGAACCTGGTGGGAGTTAAATGAATACTGAATGCTGATACCACATCTGAGTTCCCACAGGGTTGGCAGCTCAGCCTGACATCCACTCCACCCTGCCCTCTCCATACAAATTAGGGATTGAGTCATTCTCCTTGAGAAAACTGACCAGCCTGAGAGAATGAATTACAGATGCTGACATTTGAAGTTTTCCCAATGCAATGGCCCAGGGCTCTCCTTAAACTGAAGGCTGCTGGCCAGCAAGCTTCATCCATCAGCACAAAACTTCCAAGCAGGTACCAGTGAGAAACCAAAGATGACCAGGCATTCGAAGAATGCCTGAAACATGAACATCAATGGCTAACATGTGAAAGGGGAGGGTTGGTGAAGAGGAAGAGAGAAAATGTGCATAATGATTCAGTCCAGGCCCACCCCACTCAGCCATGAAGCTGGCCTGATTGATTCCGAGCCCACTTTACCTTATGAGGCCAGAGGGATTTCGGCTTGTACTGCCCAGGCTCACCCTGTTCGTGGTGAACCAGTGATTCCCAACAGGAACTGTCCACATAGGCTGCCTGCCGAACACTGAAGTTACTGGGAGAGAAGCAGCTGATGGGAGACCCTGGAACAGGAATACACCTTTGAGGGAGCCCTTGGAGTCCAGAGGACATTCAGCTAAAAGCTTTCTAGGAGCCGCCTCCACAGCTCTGCCAATTTGTGTACCTGGTAGGCACTTTCTTCTTCCCATGCCCAAGTTTCTGGGTCTGGCAAGCCCGTGTCACCGTTGGACGGGCATGACAGGATAGCACTCTTCTCTCTGACTCAGGCCTGCCCATGTACTGACTTCCCTTTAGTGCCTGCCAGTTTTTTCTCTCTCTGAGCTCCCCCTGGACTCCCAAACAGGCAGGCAGCAGGGAGTCACAGGGTGGGAGGTAGGGGTGTGGGGGGGGGAAAGGGGAAGAGGCTCCCTGCAGTCTTACAGTTTGGCACCAGAAGGCTTTCAGTTTCATGGTGAGAGAGCTGACACCTTTGGTTCTAAAATTTAGTGGATTAATTGCCTGGATTCCTGATCCTAAAGAGAAAAGGTAGACAAACAGTGCTACAAGGAAAGTGGGCTTGGAGGGAGACTCTCTCGTTTTTGGTTTTCCCATCATTGTCTAGAAAGAGGCAGAAATGGGGACCAGCTCACTCCTCTGTGGGTCAAGGGAGAGGCAGTGGGAGGTTGGCACACTTCTTTGGGAAATGTAGTAAGCTACTCACACAGCTGGGAAAGAAAGCCAGAAAT